TGAAACTCCCTGACCAGCCCTGTAAAATCTCCCCCTGCCCCAGGCAGAAGTCAGGAACCTCTTTCCGGGCAAGGGGGCACCTTCTAAAACCCCCAATAGAGCCAACTCCTCATGCAAGCCACAAGGCTCGACGTGACCCCTAGCCCCTCAGTCCCTGACTCCGCTCCCACCCCTCCCTCGCTCCCCAGCCAGGCCACGCAGACCTGTGCAGCCCACCCTCACTCCTGCAAGGTGGTCCCCTCCTGCCTCACGGCTGATGCTTCTCCTCACCTCGTGGATCTGGGATCAGCACAAACGCCTTCGCCTACGGCACCAAGTCGCACCTGATTTTAACTCATTGCCAGCCCCCGCCCCTTCACCTGCCCCTCATTGAGCACCTCTATGGAGCAATGCACTGCTATATCCGCAGCACCTGAAGCTACACCGGGTACAAAGTAGGTGCTCAAGGAACGGTGGAAGACGAGCAAAGGCCTTCCCTCAGCTCTGCAGTGCCTGCGGGGTCAAAGCCGTACTTCCCATCATGCCACAGGGCTCTGTGCACCCCACCTGCACTCCTGCTGGTGCCCACCTTCCACCCGCCACTCCTTGGGGTAGAGGGGTGAGTCCATAAGAGCACCTATGCAAAGAGAGTTCAGGTGAGTCTGGCAGAAGCTAGAAGGGGCTCGGGGCAGCACCTCAGTGTCAGCTTTGATGTGATTGTAAGTCCCTCCCACTGCTGACCCTCTAGAACTTCTGCTTCTCAGGTGGAAAAGTGGTGATGCAAATGTTGTTCCCGCCCTCCTCCTGGTATTACCTACATGGCTCTAAAAACGGGGAAGGGCGTTCAAGATCCTAGCAGGAATAGTAAAAGTTACAACTGTTAAGTGGCCCTGAAGAATAATACCCTCTTCTTACTGTGAGAGTACTGTCACCACAACACAGAAATATTGTCCACAGATTACCCACTTAGCCTCTACAGCAACCTATCAGGCAGGAATGATCATCATCCCAAGATGTAGATGATGAAGTGCACTCCAAAGGGTGGAGAACCTGCTCAAGGTCACACAGAGCAGGCTTGAACCCTGGCTCTGTATCACTTTGATGCAATTTTTAAAGATTTTTTTTTATTAATGTATATGAGAACTTGGGTACGGGCCACAGGTACAGGGGGTGAGAGGATTCACCAGAGACAGAGCGGGGAGCAGAACAGGCAGATCAACTAAGTACACTGCTGAGGGGAGCAGCGCAGAGACATTAGCGGTCTGCTGCACCAAGTGGGTCAGCTCCCTGGCCGGGGATCCAACATGGGGATCGAACATGTGCTGCAGTGGCTGCCCATAGTCGATGAACTGAGACTTTAACCCCTGCGCCAAGAGGGAGGCCACTGATGCAGCTTTTTAGAGGCTAGAAACCAGAACACGGGCCCTCCCTGGTGGTGCAATGGGTAAAGGTGCAGCGTTATGAAGCTGTCACAGCCATTGCAAGGAGAGTTCAATCCCTGGCCAGGGGTGTGACATGACATGGCAGACCCCTCCTGTCTCCCTGCTGCTCCCCTCAGCAGTGCATTTCACTAGATACAGCTGTTCTGCTCCTCACTCTGTCTCTGGTGAATCCTCTCATCTCCCGCACCTCTGACCTGCACCCCAGTTCTGTATTGCAGAAATAAGTGAATTTTTAAAAAAAAAAAATCCATTGAGGGTGATTTGGTGATGGGAAACCCAAGGGGACTGCAACTGAGATGGGAAAATGCACAGAAATATGTAAAAACAAACTATTATAAAAAAATTTTTTTTAATCCACTGAAATTAGTTTGCTTAGGTTCAAGCTTCTACTTTCTCACTGCACTCACATCACATATACCTGACAATCGGAAAAAAAAAAAGAAAAGAAAAGAACACAGAACACCAGATTCTTGGATCCTGATTGAGCCAGGCTGGGGGGCCAGATAGAGGGACACTTTCGAGGACCAAAGGAGGGGTGCGGGAGAGGGCATTCCCCTGGGGACTGACTCACAAACTAACTCAGTTCATGCTCACAGCAACCCGCTGTGGGCGCCCTCTGGGCTCACTGCACAGAGGCGAACGCCGGGCCCAAGCTCAGCACAGCCAGAACCCGCACGCAAGCCACCACGCCATGCCTGGACAGGGCTCTCCCTGGCTGTCTTCTCCTGCCTCCCGCATACATTCTGCCCTGGGGAAAAAGCTGCCCTGACTCAAACTGAAGAGGAGCTAGCTCACCAGCAAGCTGAGTTCTGCGTGAGTTCTAGGGGCTCATGATAGTCCCAGGCTTCAGGGGGTGCGAGAAAGGAAATGCAAAAGGACCACTCCAGTTGGGGACCTGATGAGCAGAGTACGAGGCAGCACGGGCAGGCGATCTGGGCTTGAACCCCAGTTCGGCCCCTTGTGGCCCGCCAGACCCAGGGCAAGGCAACTCCTCCTCGGAGGCTGACTGACTGTGAAATGGACAAACACCACCTCCACCCTGCAGGCCGTGAAGCCACTGTTCAGTCACTTGTCAACAAAAGGTTCACTCTGAGGCCAAACCAGGCCAGGGGTTTCCATCCCAGCAATACCACTTCCAGTTGTGAGACCTGAGACAGATCATTTCAAGTCACAGCAAGCATTCTCAGTTTCTTCATCTCTAAAATGGGTACACTTCCACCTTCCTCGCAGGAATCTCTGACAGGACACAACCATGCCTACCCCCTGGCTGTTTTGAGATTTTAATGAGGTCAGGTGTGCTTGTCACATGCATGTGGTGAAGGATCAATAAACACCAGCTCTTCAGCTCTAAACGTGATGTGCCTCCCTGCGCCTCAGTTCCGTGGTCTAAAACAGAGATCATAACAACAGCACCCACAGTCTAGGATGTGAGCATTCAACAAGTTAACCACGTAAATCAAATGACAGCATGTGGCACAAAGAACACTCAATGGATGGCAGTCATCAGGTGGAGGTACACGGTTAAAGCGCAGTACTAAAGCAGGCAGACCTCTCCTGTTTCCCCGGTGCTCCACTCAGCTCTCTGCCTGCTGTTCCCCACTCTGTCTGGTGCATCCTCTCACCCTTCCCCCATCTCTGGCCTGCACTCCAGTTCTTGTATGCATAAATAATTAAGTCTTAAAAAAATAGATGGCAGTCATCAACCTCAGGATTGCTGTTTCTAGTTCTGCTGCTGCTCACCCCATTAGGTGAACCCTCCAAAAGCTGTCAGGAGGAGACCAAAGGAAAAAAGACTGAGTGGAGGGAACTTCCACAGACTCACAGAGACTCAGAGGTATCTCTCTCTCTAGGAACCACAGTCCATGAACACAAGTCAGCTTAGAAGCCAATGCTGTGGACCAGAAGCAATCCTCTGCCCCTTCGATCACATCACTAGTCCATATTTCCTGGGTCAACTAGGGACTATGGTCAGCCCCCTGGAAACCCCAGACCCAGGGCAAAGGTTACAGGGCAAGCCAAGGTCACAAGTTGGCCTGGGAAGCAGGGGCAGACGCCTGCCCCTGGGCTGTTTGCTCCAAACAACCAGTGAGTGACCACCGTGAGAAACCAGATCCATGAAGGGACGGATGGCCCCAGGTCCTTCAGAGCAGCCTTCCTCTGCGTGTGGGCCGCGCCAACCAAGTCCCCCTAACCTATGCAGGGATGAACAGCTGGGAAAACAGCACTTAGCCTCATCTTGTTCAATGGTGGGCCAAATGCTATGGACTGGCGGGAGCATAAACTCGCTGGATGGCTGGACTGCTGGACTGCTAAGCAGGGAGACAGACAGCCTCCTGGGCATGCTGGTTGGTGCCGGGTCCCTTCAACCCCACCAGGAGGCAACTCTCCACACTTTTGCAAAAAGAAGAGTGGACAAGTTGAAAGGCAGCCCCTCAGAGGTCCTGATTCAGACCCCCTGCGAAGCTCAAGAGGCCCCCCAAATGAGAGGAAGCGGGTCCTCAGAATCGCAAGGATGGAGGGGTGCCAGCCACCTTGCACTCGGGGAGAGGTCTCCCTCCAAACACTCCTTCCACCCAAGTCTTAACAAGAATTCCAGGGACACAGCTCCTGGAATCCAGCTCAATACCCTCCTCCCCTCCCTAACATGAAGCCTTAAGTTCAGAAAACTTCAACCAGGGCTAAGACATCACCCCACCCTCCCCATGGAAAGAATGTGCCGCAGAGGAGCTCCACACACCTTGAGATTAAGTTTAATAATGAAAGCGTTCTAAGTAGACAGCAGTTCGAGTAACCACCCTGGGTCCCCCCTTCCGCCCCCCAAGAAAGAAGTTCGAGAAAAGGTGATCCAATCCCCCACCCAGCAAGCCCTCCACCCGCGGGCTAACCCCCAGTCCCACCCACCGAACACAGGCGGCAGAAGCCCCTCCTCTTCGAGACCTCCCCCAAATACGCCCCCAACACCCACTAGGGCCGGCCCCGTCCCCCGAGATCACAACATCACCGCCTTCCTCCACACAGCGCTGCTCTATGTTCCGAGGCCGCCCCCCCCCCGCACCTCAGTGGTATGACCCACACGGCGCTACCCGGCCACACTTGGTACAGCCCCCCGCCCCAGAAGCCCCCCGCTCTCCAAATAGACTACGGGCCGGCTCCCACGCCCGGAATAGGTCCAGCCCCCTCCGCTGGGGCCGGCGCGCCCCCTCCTCGGCTCGGCTCTCCCACAGCGGCCACGCTCTCCCCTCACGCCCTACTGCATCAGTCCCAGCCCGCACACACTGGGGTCTGCGCCCCAGCCCTCGGGGTTCGGCCCTCGCGCCTTCGGTATGCCCCCCCCCGTGGCTTCAGTGGTACGGCCCGCCGCCTCCGCCCCCCGACCCTCAGGGCCAGTCCGCCCGCCCCCGCGTAGCCACCCGACTCAGTCCCGGAAGGGGGGACTCGAGGACCGCGGTCCCCGCCCGCCGGGGGCCGGTGGTACGGCCCAAAGCAGCTCGGCCCGGGCGGTGGAGTGGGGTGGTGGGGGTGTCCGGACGCGACCATCACGGGTGGGGGGAGCCCGGGGACACGCGCTGGCGCACTCACCTGTCACCGGCGGCCGCCCGAGCTCTCCGGCGGGGCTCTACTTCGGCCCATCGTCGCGCTGCGCTAGCTCCCGCTCCTTGTGTTTCCTGGCGGCGGCAACGGCGGCGGCAGCGGCAACGCCTTCTCAGAGCCAGGCCCAACGGCTCGCGCGGCGCGGCCCCCCCGC